ATCCCCATGGAGCCCCCAGCCACAGCTGTGCTGTGATAGCAAGGCTGGGGTTGCCTTGGAGACCAGCACCAGCTGTGCGGGCAGGGCAGGGCAGGGCAGAGCCATGATCAGCAGTCTGCATGTTCTGGGCAGGGGTGCATAGGCAGCGGATCATGGCTCTGCCCGGCTCAGGACCACAGTGTCACCACTGCAAGGAGCCAGGGCAGAGCTGCAATCCGCTGCACCTGCCTAAAGTGTGCAGACTGAAGATCATGGCTCTGCCCTGGCCCCAACCAAGCTGTCCCTGCCACAAGATCCTAGTGGCTCTGGAGCAGCCCCCTGCCCTGCCTTGGGCTGGAGCCAGTCTCCAGGGCAACACCAGCCTTGCGCTATCACAGTACAGCTGCAGCTGGGGTCTCCATGGAGTAACTCCTGCCATGCAGGCAGGAGTTACTGGGAAGCAGAGTGCACTGCCGGCTGGATCCAGCTCGCAGGCTGGACTTTGCCTACCCATGAGGTAGAACCTTGTCAGTCCTACACAGAGGAGTGCACAGTGGAGCTGGAGATCTCACTGACTTGGTCAGCCAGGACTGTGGGTTGAAGGAGCTGGGCTCAGACTTGGGGGAAGCTGCAGGCTGCTGTTTGAGCACCGTAGGAACTAAAGGTTTATTTGGGGACACCACCAAATTAAGGAGGAAATTAAGATGCTGAGTATATGTAGCCACAGTGTTATGTTTCTTTACCTTTTACCTGTTTCTTCCCTTTGGCCTGTTTGCTTGTGACCCTAACCCCTATGATTAGGGTGACTGTAAGGAAATCCAGGACACTGCCCTCCCCCCTCCTCCCAAGTCAGCTGCATTGCTACAGGCAGAGGTGGAGCGGCATGGTGCTGCTGCTCCGTAGTGGCCCAGATAGATGGGCAGGCAGCCACAGTGCCTACCTGCCTGCCCACCCACCTGCCTTTCCTTGTGCACTATGCTACTCTGCCTCCCTGCCGGACTGTGCCCCATGCCCAGGACATTTATTTTAAACTTCACTAGCTGGCCAGTGAAATGTAGGACTGTCCTGGGCAAACTGGGATGTATGGTCATAAAGCTTATTATTTTCTGTATTAAAGTGGGAACTCCCCTTGCTTCTTGTCCCAGTTTCTGGGGCTACAGGGTGGTACACCTGCTTTGGAATATGCTATGCAGCATGACATTACAGAGTACTGTTTTATGTTTGGCCAAGGCATTCATGAATAAATAATTCCACCCATAAGTGTGGGTAAAGGCTTGCCACATTGGAAGGCATAGAGTATTTTGTAAACAAAGTACAAATATATATGCCTTGGCATTAGCAGTTCCAGTAACTTTAGATTCAGACATGCAAATTAAACACATCCACATAATTCGTGCACTATGGTATGGGCTTCATCCAGCAAAGCACCTTAAAATATGCTTAACTTTCAGCATGCAAGTACTCATATTGACTTCTATAATAGTAGTCAGGTACAAAACAAAATGAGTGCTTACATGTTTTTCTGAATTGGGGATAGTGTGTTCTAATCATTTTATTTACTTACTACAGAAAGCATCCTTTCATTCCCCTCTCTAGAGCACATAGAAGCACAAATGGAACTAGTCATGTTTGGGCATTCATAATTCTTCTCTTGCCTATATTCAGAACAAAAATGCTGCATGGAAGCAACTCAGTCATCTGTTGCAACTAGGTCAAATCACAGACAAGAAGCCAGTTACAAAAATAGTCATGCTTATTCAATAAACAGCAGTCAGGTTTCCTCAAGGAACGGAAAGTGCTAATGAAATGGTGGAAATATTTAAGGGGAGCAAGGGAAAGAAAAACAACACTGATTTAGCCAGGACCCAAACTCGTGTCTACTGGACAGCATTGAAATTCTCATATAAGTAGGATGGAGAAATTCCTTCAGCTGGACAACAACTGCCTGGGGAATATGAGAATTTAAACATTATTATTAGAAATTATTCAAGCCTTAAAAAGATTCAAGTCAATTCTTATTTTAATCAAAATGTGTCCACCTAGCCTATTGAAAGTCTGAAACCCCTAAGACATTCTATTTCTTTTAACTTCTTGAGTCACAGGAGTTTTCTAGATTGGATAGTACAGCTAAGTTTCTGGCCTAATAAGTATCATAGTTGAATTCTGCCTACTCAGTTGCAGATATAGAATGTTTGATTTATACATATTGATCTCCAATATGAGTTCTGCCAACCAGTTTGCACCTCTCAGCACAGAACTGGTGATGGAAGAAAGAAATAATCCCACCATCCATGTGACTTTCTTCATGTTTACAGGGCAAGCTATTTCAGAGGGGAAAACAGGGCCATGAGAACTTGCTGTGCTAACACTCACAAGCAAGGGGAGCTGGAGAGCTGCTGGCAAGCCCCCCTCCCACACCTTCAGCTGTGTTGCAATTGAGAAGTGAGGTCTGAGCTCCCCTTGGGTAAAAGAACAGGGAGTGTGGGTATAAGGTATAAGTATCAGGGCTCTTCAAGAATACTTTATTAAGTGCTTTAGTGTATGTGATTTTCCCCTATCCCTATGTGGTCCCCAGTAGCAGCTTAAAAAAAAAAAAAATCCTTCCTCCTCTCTCAGATTTCTATTATGTGTAAGTAAAGAATACCATGCTATGTGTCTGTTTACACTACTTTTAACAAAGAAGTATTAATGCCTTTTAAAGAAGCTTATTTTTATATTGATCAGGGAAAGGGAGGAGTGGCAGTGAGCCATGATCAGAGCCAACCCTAGGAGTGTGAAGGGCCTGGGGCATATCAACCTGGGGGGCCAGGCAGCCAGAGCGCGGAGCGGAGAAGAGAGGGGTGGCAAGTGGCTGGAACGTGAAGCCGGTGACACACACCAGCCACATGGAGTGGTGGCACCCTCAGCGGGGCACTTGGAGTGAGGGAGCTGGTGCTGCTTCAGTACAAATCATCATCATCATAGAAGCCTCATTGTTTGCATTTCCTATCTCCTTACTATAAATGGAGACTTTCAACTTATTCATTTTCAAAACCCAATTTAGGATAAACTTTCTATCACCTAAAATCTTTCAAAAGATTTCC